CTGCCAGCAGCTTATGTCTGGACCAATCAGCGATCAGCACCAAATTGAATCGTGAGCGCGTGAGAAAAACGACAGCGAACACACACACGAACAGGTGGCTGCTTATCTCTGGCTTTGGCTCATCTCTGCGCATACACGTGTTTGTGTGGGTGTGTATGCTAAGTAATGTGGCGCATCGTTCTCACTCGACTTTTGATCGCTTGCTTATTTTCTGGGCGCCGGTTTTTTCGTCCGCTTGACTCACTCACATTTTAACACTCTGTTAGTTGGACAGTATGAAACTTTTTTGTTTACCATCCGATCGCCCTCAAACTCATTTTCAAAGATCTTTGTTGAAATTCATTTGAGGCGTGTTTCACACTTTTCGAAAAGGGTTTTTTAAACCCAAGTTCTTATACAATCGCACGTATATTCTTTTTCTTGGATGAAATCAATTATTTAATAAGTTCATAAATTATTTGGGTACCATATTTATATGGAAGTTTCCCACAAATTGGACCATAAATAAAGAAAGTTGAAATATTTTTAAATGTAGTGTATTTGATCTGGGTTCAAGTAATCATATATTTTATTATTCCCGACTGGAGCGTTGCTTGTTTGTTTGCAAGCCGATTTGCGGACTTGGGACTTACATTTTTGAATAAGTTTAAGAAATAAATGAATCGGTGAGAAAAATGCAAGTATGAATCTACAACTGAACAACTAAGATTTTATTGTGCTCACATAATCACTTTTTACCAAAGCCCCTAAACTGTGCTCATAGAATGAAAAGTCGAAAGGCAAAGGCAAAGGCAAAGGCAAAGGCAACGTCAATGGCAGCCGGCAACAATAACTTTTAATCACTTTAAATAATAAAATCCAAGAAACACTTTCGGATTTACTGAGTTTCTTGTTGGGGATTACCTCAGTGAATCTCGACGGCTTAGTAAAATGCCTTCAGCACTAGAACATCATGGCTCCGCATGTCTTAAGACCGCTTGCCATTCAATCGTATGTATATACTCGCAAATGCGGATTTTTGCAACATTTCTCATACCCAAAACAGGCTGCCTCAAGGAGTCGCGCGGACGGGCGGAGCCCAACTGAAACTTAGATGAACGCTGGCGGCGGCGAATGTGTAGATATAGCGACTGCGACTTTGCTGTCTTTGGCTCCGAACGCGAATGTGAACACAGCAAACTGTTATTGCGAGATGCTTTGATAAATGCCTTTCTTTCACATTGATGATAATCTCAACTAATGAGGAATTAAAATTGGATTACAGTATACTCTAATTAAAAGGCTTATGCGAATGCAACAATGAATTCTGAACATTCGGATTAGAAGGGATAATGTATGTAAGCAACATATATACATATATATGCATAAAGCTGATTACAAAGTTTCTTTTAACAGTCATATTATTAAATGATTTGAAAAGAAAAAGAGTACGTATGCTGATATTTGTATGCATGCCGATGGTATTCTCAAAGTAACAGACAGTATCATCAGTCTCGTTGCATTGCAGCTAGTTCTTGGATTTTCAGCCATCGTCATAAAACTATCCACACGTTTATCTGTATGTTTCGGCCCGATCGGACCTAGGTTTATTTGAGATAATTAGCGAGCGGATTTTTCAAGTTATTCCAAGAAACACAGGAATTACCCTGAACTCATTGCAAATGGGTTAAAAAGGTTCTAATGTATATGTTTTTTGTTTATTTTTATATTTTTTTTTTTTTATAAATTTAATGATTTTGTATTGTTAAGTTTTGATCGATTATTGCTGTTAAATTGAAAATTTTCTACTCTAATTGGACTGCTAAGAGGTACTCAATGATTTCGAGACGAAGCGACATTAAGCCGAGTGACATCTTAAGCCCACGTTCATATCGCCCAACCTTGTGAGTCATTCAGATAGGCTAATTGTTTTCTATACGAGCCAAGTAAGGAGCAAGAAGCATTGTAATCGCCACCATTAAAACACTGTCAATCGCCCAAGAAAGCAACCCTCTTGGGATGTACAGTGGTACTCGAACAGTTGGACTTAGACTGCCAGACCGAACCGAATCAAGCCAAGCCAAACGAAACGAACAGTAACAATTACAACAACAATAATTACATTCGCAATGCCGATGTCGACGAAACAACAGAGATTATTGTCAGCCAGTCAAGTGGGAAGCTGATGCTTTTCAAAAAGGCTTTGAACAATAAATGATGTGAAATCTCCTGAAACACAGTGTGTGTATGTGAGTGTGTGTGTGGATATTGTGATGTGGCGCTTGCAATTCGCGAAGGGCGCACTCACATCCTCAGCCCGTCTTGGTTGGCTCCTGGTTCCTGTTGCCTGGCACTCTTTTTGCCAAACAAAGCGGTAGCTGTTGTCGTCGTTCCTTATGCATGGATGCCTGGCTGGCTGGCTGGCTGGCTGGCTGGCTGGCTGTCTGGGCCTGTTTGCCTGCACCAGCTTCCGTTTGTTTTTCGGCACAGGGAGCGACTTGGTAAGCCGTGCTCTTCTTCTTAGATTTTTCGTCGAAAACCAAAAAGCAAACATTTTTTCCTGAGACACTCGACTTGCACAAAGTAAATCGGCTTTTCGATTGTATTTGAAGTGGGGACTACTGAGTACTACACACAACCTTCCTCGCCAAGTACTGAAATTATGCTCACATAACTCACACGTATTCGTACATCGCTAATGTTTGTGTCTGCGTTCCGTAAAACAGATACGGCCACCGTTGAAGCGACGACTGAGCAAGTGGCCAGAAGAGAAGTCAATTGATGCTCCTGATACTTTGCATGCATATTTTGCTTTTTGGTTAAATACTCTCTACTCATACAACATGAAAAGAGTATATTGGTTTTCTGCAATGCCTGCCTTGCTGTCCTTCCGCCAATTGTACTGAAGGCAAATTTGTTACCCTATTGCTCGATTTCTTCCACACGTCGAAGATTATTACCGACGATTTGTACCCTTGTTGACGTATGGCTTACGGATTTGCAAATATGTGGGAAAGATTGTGAATTAATAAATTTTTGGAACTTTCTTTTTCATAACTATGTGATTAAGCACTTCGATGCTGATAAGATGTAATGATATATAATGCCTTATATGTAATTATTTAATTAATTTTTTACCTATCATTTTTATGGCAGCTGGATGATTCGACATAAGTATGTACTACCTATGCAAAGTTGCATCAGGATTGGTTAAAACTGCGAGGGGCTTGGATATATAGACTATGGCATCGACACTATATATTATACTAGCAGGTATTTAGATACAATAATATACAAGTAAATAAACAATTAAATTTAATGAGCAAACATATAACTTGTCTTTTTTTGCTGGATGTGAAAAATCTCGCTTCTCAGTCCGAAGCTCAGATCCCTAAGCCATACTGCAGGCCATACTCTATGGCCATATATCATACATTTGCAAAACACAGTTTTTTGGTCGCTTTCATTTTTGATGCTTTGACCCCCATCTTCTCACACTTTCTGTAAACATTTTTTTGAAACTCTGGCTCCAAAGTTTACGGTTTCGCTTTACGTTTCTCACGTTTCCATTAGCCAAAACAAACTTTTTTACATATAGTAGAAGTCGAATGTCTGTGAGGACATTTCGAGCATGGGGTCCAGGTATTCCTATTCGAGGGCCTCCAGTCAGGGGCCGTTAAATGCTTTGTATTTGCGTAAAAATTTCACCCTCGAAAAAGGTAATAACGCCATATCCATGCCGTCTCTGGGGCAGTACTGACCACACCCCCCCCGTAAACTCGTGTGTCTATAACATACTCATATATATTTACACATGTACGAATTAAAATCTGTGGCAAATTCATAGCCATCGCTGTAATAAATAAGCCAAAGGGACCTTGAAAACGTTAAATAAAATAATTTCAGTGACTTTGTTTAGAGAAGTATTTCAAAAATGTAAAATATTTACTGAACTTATTTGAGAACACGTGTTTGAGCTTATGCATTATTTAAATTCGGGTTGTTATTTTTGTATTATTTGCAGGAATTATGTTTTTATACAATGTTTCCCTAGAAAATGGGTTTAGAGGAGCATATTGGTTTGTCTGAAATCTGTGTAACAAACAAAAGGCAAACCCATACAATGTATATATTCTACACCAGGATGACGAGAAGAGTCGATTCAGACATGTCCATTTGTATGAATGTGTCGAGCCTTGAAATTTGAAATATATACATATTTCCCTCAATCATACATTAAACAAATTTTTTTCATGATATCTCGTCCCATTTCCAAAATATGTTTAGATGATTATTAAAGATTATTCCATAATTACGAAAACAATGTTTGACTTACTAAGAGAATATAGATTATTTAAATTTAAAGAAAAATAGCTTTATTTAGACAGACTAAAGATAAAGAAGTGTAGGAGCAGAAAGTTGTTAGAGAAAGGAGAGCTTAAATTGTTTTAGGTGGAAATTGTTTTAGACTGGATAAGAAATGGGTGGAAAATGGTTGCATGAATGAGAGATTTAATAGGAGAGAATAAAATGGGCTCAACAAGTTCTTACTTTTGTTTTTGAACCAGATCGATATCAAACTAACATTCAACTAGCGTTGTGAATAAGTATGTAAATTATATTTGAACTTTGATTTCAAAATATTGCGCATAGATTTAAAAATTTATGTTTAACATTAGCAGTAACAAATTTGAACTGGGCAAGGCCGGGAAATACCAGCTGAAAAGGATTTAAAGTCCACATCGACACGTGGTGGACTCTGTCCTGCTCTCTCTTAACTTCACTCTGAGTAAATAGGAATGCTTACGGTATTGTCTCTCCAACCCCTGCCATGTGGACGCCAATGGGAGCGCAGCATACACACTCCCCGCCCATTGAAGGGGCAAGCGTCTGCTTCGGGCCAAAACCGAGCTGGCCCGATGTACGAGATTTTGGCATCACAGCGGTACGCAGAGCTTATCACTAGCCGACTTTGCTCAGTTTCAATCAGAGCTTGTCGCGGGTCGGTCGAGTTCAAGTTGAATTAAATACAAATAGTCGGCGGCAACGCATTCGAGGCTCGTGGCCAAGACGTGCATTCCCGTCGTTGCGTTTATAATTGGCTTAAAAGCGTGCATACATACGAGTGCATATATATGTTGAAATCAGGCTGGTGATAATTAAGATATCATAGACTCAAACTATGTATTTTAATTCATTAAAGTGAGCGAGCTGGCCAATTCTTAACCACAGCGAATAGATGTCGTCGATGCAGCAATGCGTTTTTCTAATACTAATATATCTATTGCCAGCTTAGTGCATTAGTAATTAGTATGAATGTATTAATGCTTGAAAATCGCCCGATCATTTGTGCTTAAAATATCCGTTTTGTTAAGAGTTTAACTAGTGCAGGACTTGAAGAGCAATCGCTGCTGTTTTTCACACCATGGACAGAAATGCAATACAAACAAAAAGGAAACGGCAAATACTGAATGAAACTGAATGCATTTCTCTCCATTTCTATTACTGTAAGCATATAATTATACATTGTTTTTCCTCCTTTTTTTTCTGCCAAGGCAAACGTATTTACTCTACATCTCTGATGTGCCAAAGATGTAATATCCTTGTAGACATGGTCTTACATGACCTCGCAGATTTCCGAGCAGGATTGTCTATATCGCGATTGCATGAGTTCGGTTAAGATATATTGAGAAAAAAGCTTTTCCAAGCAACCAATTATTTCTATAAAGCTGCCTGATATAAGGGCAAGAGAGGGCTCGTATATGATAAGTTTCATTATGACATATTGAGAAACCAAAAACAAAGTTGTTTTAACAATAGTTTAACAATTCGATCGTGAAAAAATATGGACTTATGCAAAGCCTCTGACGATCCTTTATATCTGATATATCCTTTATTTGCTGATATTGAACAAGATATTGTCGTATGACAAAAAAATAATACATATTTTCGAAATGCCAAAGGCTTAATTACAAAATTTCAATCGTATTTTTAAGCTAAGTAAAGTTTTAAGTTAATTTCCTAATGGAATTTCCACATTAATTAACTCTTTTTGTTATTATTATTATGATTAGGGTTTTTATTTGTATTCTAATAAATTATTATTTTGTCAAGATCTATCTATTTCCATCTTGTTAAAGGCGATATCCCCGACTCTATTAGGTACATTTGAACATTATAAGCCATGTCTTTCTGTCTCTGCAATTTACACTCCCAGTTTTTTTTAATGCAACATATGATCGAAGTGGAGGCTATTTATCATACAGGGATCTACTGCTAGAAATCAGAACTTTTGTAAAAAGAATATCGTTAGCATCGGACTTTTATGTTATGAGCTTACAGTCCTTGGCATATGAGTTGTCTAAGTGAGAAGATTCTCTTGGTGAGAAGATTCTCGTAAAGTACATATACTTCATAGACCAAGGCTGCCAATCCAAAAGAAGCTGTCAGTGCGTTTGGTTCGTAAGTCTGCCTTTTGAAATCCTTGAACCTAGGATTTGTTTGCGCTGAGCTCACCGGATACTATTGTTTAATAAATATGGAATATCAAATTGTATTTGTAGTCTAATAACAGCTTAATTCATTATTACCATGCATGTATTCACACATATAATGTATATTAGATGGCGATCTTTCTATACCCTTGCAGAGGGTATTATAATTTTGTCGTGAAATATGTAACGCATAGAAGAACCATCTCGGACTCCATAAAGTATATATATTCAGATCCACAGCCGAGACGAACACCTAAAATATGTTTGTCTAAGCTTAATCTTTTTGTGTTGTTAGAACGGTCAGGATATCTTCTAGTCGGGCACGCCCGCCTAGGGCAGTATTACGCGTTTCAATATTTGAAGCAAGAAAGAAACATGTGGAACGTTGACAGACACAAGTGTAAAAAATTAGTTTCAGTACTATATTTATGCATATATTTACATACATTCAAAGGCAGCAATTTGAGCGGAAAATTGCATTTCTGTTTTGGAAAAATATGGTTCGGTTTGGGCTAAGGCTCACCTATAATTTGTGAAACTGGTTCGGTTCATAGTAATACAAATTAATGAAAACCCGATGGAAATCTATCCAAATCCCATAAGCATACAAATTGAAATACCCTAGCTAAAACCATATACTTATGTGCACATTTGGTTTAACTTCCTACATTTTTGACCCCATTCTTGTATTTAAAATGAATTGCAGTTCTTAGCTGTTCTCTGTTTAGCAGTCATTTGGTCATATTGAGAAATGTATATCATCCATCATTCCATTAACCCTGGCATTTAAGCCCGCATTTCTATATATAAAACGGTTTCTATCGACTGACTGACTGATTAGATCATGGCCCAAAACGAAATTGTTGCTGAACGATTTGAAGCTTAAGTTTTCGGGTTCTTATTCATTTTGAATAATCTTTATGCAAAATTATTTGAGACATATTTTACACATTTCGGAGAATCCAAGTCTCTTTTGTGGAAAATGAGAATCAGAGAATTTAGGGGTGGAAATGTGGAAATTTTCCGGAAATTTTGCAACCATATTATTTACCATCGGATTGTACAAATTGATGTAATGCGGATCAAAGAGTTAAGAAGCAAATATTTCGAAATCAAGATTCTCAGCTCAAGACTAGCAAGGACGGAAATCGTTGTTGATTCGAACATTTTGTTCTTCATTCAATGAATATTTAGCCTTTTTTTTCGAATATCTATGTAAAATGTAACTATGAACTATGGAGTTCGGGATAGAATAAGTAGATTTATATTTTCCACTCGCGAATTGAGCGAAAAATTAAATCTTAAATTTAAAAAATACCGGCTTCTAGAACTACATAAAATCGCATACATGTTTCATGCCTTCTAATCTATGTACATATATTTTTGAAATGCATTGATTTGCGAACTATGGAATCGGTCAGCTGAACAAATTCATGAATATCGCAATTGCTGCTGATGGGATTGATTGCCTTTGGCCGTTTCTCAACATTTAGGAAACTCATTTAACGATTGACCTTTAGCAAAGCTTTTAATTTGTTTGGGGTTCTTATTGCTTCTGTTAAAAGTATCAAACCTTTGTTTCATCAAACAGTTTCTCAGAACAAGACCACATTAAAAATTCAATTTGAGGCGAAAAATCTAAATTAAAGTGCCGGCGGCTATTAAGTGCCTTGTGCGTTGTATTCACGGAATGAATAGCACAGTAGTGCTCAGCTGTCATTTAACCGCAGATTCTATGCTTGGCCTATCGCAGTTCCCATCCCAATGAATACAGAGCTGCTTGGATGGCTCCACTCAGATATACTATAAGGTCTCGTCTCATCCTTTTCCTTGCTCGTCGTATCTAATGTAATTGAATTAAGTGGCGACTTGTTGATAGGGAACAAAGTCAACAGACACGGTACGCTCCACAACTCAATTGGGCACAGGCATAGGCACGGAATGACGGTGACGCTGATGGTGAAGGGAAGGGCAAGCGGAAGGGGTGCGGGCCCAGTTTATGAAAAGCGCAGCGGCTTAAGGACTGCCTGTGAAAGGAGTATGGACTTTTACAAACACACATACAACATGTATATTGGCAATTAAGTTCTTAAGCGGAACCGAGCAATATCATTTCAATATGAATACAGAGTATGCAAATGTTCATGATAGTCGTGCGTTCTTCTCACTTCTTTGTGAGCCCATTTAAAATGGGAATGGGATGCGGTTGCGTACAAACACATGTAGGAGGCAGCAGGAGGGAGGATTCTCCAACCACACAGCAATGTCTCTGTGCCTGTCAGTCCTTCCGCCAGACTTTACGTATATATGTATGTATGATCTTAGCGACTATAAGAGCTAGATTTCTTTAAAATCATAGATAACTCCGTTCCCCCGTTTTTACGTTTTTACGAAAATATGCCAGAGTATGTTGAATAATTCACACTTTAGTAACGTCCCCTATCCCCCTTAAAATATTGAGGAATATTTAGGATATCGTATTGACACACAGTTGGATCCTATATTTAGGCCCTAGGGTATAATGATCGGACAATTAATTTTACTAATTTATTAATATTTGACCTAAGAACAGAAAAATGAAAACTGAAAAGCCTAATCAAAATAAAAGCAAATAACTAATAGCATCATGGAGTCATTTTATAGCATGTATTTCCTACCTTCAGGGTATCTCATAAGCGGGCAGTCCCGTCTCTCATCGCTCCCACTTGGTTTTATTTCTATTATTATTACTACAACATAGTGACTCTCCTGAGACAGTGCATCGAATGGTCTCCGTACAGTGATAATTTAGCGTCCCATCTCATTGTTCTTTGTGTTGCATGGCAACTTTTGCCGGACAACTATTTCAGTTGCCTCTTTCTCCATACGATTGGGTACGTCTCATTAAAGCGGTGGCCCTTTAGGTACATAGAGAAGTATATATGTAAATATACATTGCACGACCCTGTAATACATGAAAGCAAATTGTGGAAACGATTCTTGCGTAAGGGATTCGATATTGTCATATTAAGTATGTGGTTCAAAGCATCTGAAGCATTATTTTTTGATTTTTGAAAACTTTAAAATCATAATATCACGAATTAATTTGACATGAATTTAGATTAATTTGTGCATCTATATTTACAGTAGGGGCGCACTAGTCGGGAGTATCCGACTAGAGTATAATCCTGAACCTTCTTCTACCAACTTCAAATATGCGATTCCCTGAATCTATTGAACATAGCTGAAAATGGTTAATTTTGTTTGGCAAAAAGTATATAACAGGCAGAAGGCAGCCTCTCCTTTCTCATAAAGTATATACATATATCCTTGACCTGGACGAGTAGCTGATTCGAACTATCCATGTCAGTCAGCTATCCTCTTTTACCCCGACGGTCTCAGAAACCTCAATAGCTAGACATTGTTTATTGTGTATATATAAATATAAGGAAGATAGATTTTATGAATGGATACTGCTGGGTTCAGGGTATCTCCCAGTCGGTCACTCCTGACTAGAGTACACTTACTTGTTAATTTTCGTTTGTCCTGCATCCTTTAAATCAAGGTAAAAGTGCAAATGTTTTTATGTATCAGAAAAAAAAATGCTTGTATATTGCCACCTCCTTCGACGCCGATTGAAGAGTCAGTTTTAGTTAATTCGAGGGTTATCTCTGTTTACTTCCATATAGAAATTTCTTGCGAATCTTAATTAGTATCTCTGAACGTGTGCTTACTCTAAAAATAATAACACCTATTAGCTAATTAGCGTGGTTAATTAAGCTATTAATATTGAAGTTTCGATATTATGGGCCCCTTTTGAACCCAATTAGTTAGAATCCAATTAAATTTTTTCTTAAAAAGCCTTGAGTTGTAGCGTGCCTTAAAGTTATGGAGTGATATCCGAATATAATATAGTATATATATATATAGTAGTATATATAGTAATATACATATACGACAACCTATATACTAAAGACAGTTTTGACTGCTTCTCGATATCAACTCTTGAGAAAACGGATAGGATATCTATCGAC